TGTTTTTTTCTCATTGGCACGTCAATATTCAATCGGGAAGCTTAGCGAAATTTACAAGCGAGTATAGGGATACGTGAGGAAGAAGAAAGATGAAAGGAAAGAGAAAGGAGCGCTAAATAGGCTGAAGGTAGGGTTGGGGTGCTAAGAATAATAGGTGAAAGGCGCGGGACGAAGCAAGGGAAAGTATAGAGAGAGAGAGAGAAGTGGAGGAAGAAAGAGGAAGAAAGAGGAACGTGGTCGTGGCATTGCGGCTCAGGAAAAAGGTAGCGCAATTTGTTAGACGTCAGATTTCAATGAAGCAACTGGGAGGTTTCTTATCGTTCCGGGCAACCCGGGCAACCCGGGCAACCCGCCGTAACTGCCGCAACCCGCGACCCGCTTCTCCACATCGCACCGAATTCCGTTACAAACGGCAATAAAGCCAATTCGCTCGACAGCCCGGAATTTAGCAGGTCGTTCAGCGGCCCTCTGCGACCACCTCGACCTTCTCGACCTTCTCGATCTCCTTCATCTCCAGAACCGGCGGTCCACCTTGAACGCGAGACGGTTCGCAGATTCGACACTGGGGTGTCGTAAGGCCGGCGAACCTGGGGGAACGAGTGTCTCGCGTAATACCGCTTCGAAACTCGTAAATACAAATATAAGGCTAATTGAGAACGATCATTCCCAAGACCCTCCGGACCCACCCCCCCCGCCCCCTCTACGGCGGAGCCTTTTTCCCTGCAAGATGGGAAACGTCTGAGATACATCGCGAGATTAAGGAAGGAGAGGAAAGAGTCAAGAAAGAGTCACCCGGCTACTCTCCCTCGGGAATTTCAATCTGTTCCCTTGCATTTTTCCCTTTTTCCACCCTTCGTCTTGATTCGCTGTTCTTCGGCAGATCGTCAGGCCCCACCCGAGCGCCCCGAACCGAGCACCTCTTCTTCCTCTACCCTTTCACTTTCGCTTTCTTCCTTCCGCACGAGACGCGAATCGCGGCAAAGACTGAAGTAGCTCAACGGATCGGCGGCTATGGAAATTCACAGGCAGGTTTCACGAAGATGCTTAATCGTAATTGCTAGGATTGGCAGTGACGATTGGCAGGGAATGCCATTATTCCAGAGTGACTACGGCAGGCAGCTTCAGAGGAATCGGAGGATTGCCCGTGAGGGATAGAGACAAGAGGAAGAGAAAGTGCTGGAACCGAGGAGGCAAATATTTGGAAGCTCGATGTTTCGAGCTAAAACAGACTGGCTTGAGTTTAGAGCAAACTCTCGTGCAGCTCTCTGGAAACCGGTCGAAATTTAACGGGAGCCAATTACCATCCAGCCATTCCCGTTGCGCCATAACCTCCAGGGTGCATCACGCGTTCGCGACTCCGATCGTGTTCAAGAGGGTAGGAGACATTAGAGAATTTCATAAAATTCAGTAGCGTTGCGCAGAGACGAGAGACGGAAGTGCCACGTGCAGGAGACGGACAGTGCATTGTTATCGTGGGATTTTGGGGAGTAAATGCATACATATGGGGCTAAGCTCTGAAAATTCGTGGATGGCATTCGACCGTTGCCGGCAAGTGGCCACGATGAGTCGGCTAATAAAGTTTCGCATTTATGCGTAATCGGCGTGCATTTCACCTGAGATTGTGGCAAATATTGTGCCAGCCGGATTATCGTTCGAATTACCTTATCGCCCGGGTTATGGGTTATAATTACGATTCCATTACAGCAGTCGATTCGGTATCTCGATGAGCCGCGTCTTTCCTACAACTTTTCTTCGATTACCAGGAATTTTTATCAGATTCTCTCTGCGTATCACTCGTATCCTCTGCATAGTGTATCGTGTCCTTGGCCATCCAGCAGTGGATCCAGTCGCTAGATAATCGCCTTGTTTTTGCGAAACTGGACTCGAAATTTATGGATTGCAGATCCTGTTGCAGATTGTCCTTCAGCCCTTTCGACTACGGAAGCTCAGGGTTCATTTAAGTCAGTCCGAGCGCGTTCGGCGCTGGGCCTTTAGAGCCAGCCAGTTATAATTTTCAAGCCTCGACCCCCCGTGTCACTGGACCGGAAGTTCGTAATCCATCCGCTATCTTCCAGGGCGAACCGGCGTTTTCCACGAACTCACGATCGATGAACCCGCGTCGATCATTAGCCCTTTCTCGGGCTTCCAACCGAAGGAAAAGGGTTCGTCGGTCTCAGTCAAGCAGACAACCGGCCAGGAATCAACGAGCAAACCCCTATTCACCTTCTACCACCGCATCCAGGAGAAAAAAAGAACAAAAAAACAAAGAAATGATCATCGTCCGTCGCAGACGAGTTTTTCTATTTTTCAGAGTGAAAATCTGGGCCATCAATTCAGCGCGCGGCTTGGCCCGCGGGCGGTTCAAGGGCTAACCGCGAATTTAGGGGTTATCCTTCCGTGACCTTTACGGGGAGAGAGAGGGGGGGGGCCCGTGATGGGGAGGACGGTGCAAACGGAGGGTGGAGGCTGGAGAGCAAACGACAGAGATTGGAACGGTGGAGGACTTTCCGATCTTAAAAGGACGGTCAATTCCGAGAAGGCATTCCCTCTTTGGAATTGTCCGCCATTATCTCAATTGATGCGGCGCAATAACCTCCGATTCGAGTAATTCCGAGAATTCTAACGGGACAGCGCATCCACGCTCCTCCACAGCAGTAGCGCACTGTAGATGGCCGGCGCATCCGGTGCAAATTCAGCAGGCAGATTCGAAAGCCGCCATGGGGATCGCTTTTGAGCTGGACAGTCCGGAATACGTAAGCAGCCCCGAAGTATCCCGCCGCAGCTACAGAGTGACCCTCCGCGCGGAGGGTGGAGGAAGGTAAAGGGAATAAGCGACCGCAGCTGGAGTTGCTGCGCGCAGTGGCTGCTCTACGTGCCCGAGTGTGTGTGCGAGCGTATCAAGAGGGTTCAATAAATCCATGGTTTAATTAAACTAAGTTTACACGGCCCCAGCGCGCACCCCGTACAAAGCAGTTATACGTATTATGTCCTTAATCCCAGCGCCAAATCAATTATCGAAGCTGTCCCTGAGAAATCTCCAAGGATTTCGCCCCCACCCGTCTCCCATTCGACATTCCCGCCCATTACACTGACAGCGCACGTCTGACTATATCACTTGCTCCTGACTTCTGACTCTCTCTCTCTCTCTCTCTCTCTCTCTCTCTCTCTCTCTCTCTCTCTCTCTCTCTCTCTCTCTCTCTCTCTCTCTCTCTCTCTCTCTCTCTCTCTCTCTCTCTCTCTCTCTCTCTCTCTCTCTCTCTCTCTCTCTCTCTCTCTCGCTGCCTGCGCAGACTTACCATACTTATCGACTCTCTCCGATTCTTACGGGCAGACGATCCTCCTTCTCTCTTCCACGTTTCAGCCTTCCTCGCGAGCAATTAAGCCTAAGTCATTCGGCAAACTATTCCAATTGGTGCCGCTACGTGGGAAGGGCTCGATTAAACAGATTACTTCCGAGCTACTGTACAATCTAGTTAAACGTCTCGATCCAGAGACGAAATCAAGTGACTCGCATATCAGCTGTTGGGTCGATCGGCTGCTGAATGCTCTCGAATGCTCTCGAATGCTCTCCGCGTACAGCCGGATACGCGATACACCCACCATTCAGCCATGTATAAACGGGAGACCCAACTGTTAGTAGATGTAGAACATAGTGATGATGGTGACGCGATGATTGTTCAGTGAAGTGACATCTGCGAATTGCTACGTGTACATTTCCATATTGCTGTTATTTGACTATTCACTGAAAATATTTTGGAAAATATCAGATAATTGCTGGAGGAGCCAAAATTCTATCTGAATCATTGAATTTTCTAACCATCCTACTTTCCATGTTTCCACGCACGCACAGTGGATAGACGCGGACTGCGAATTATCGTTCCCAGAGCCCAGCTGGACGAGAGACATGAACCTACAGACGGAGTAAATTGCGTCTGAGCTGCGAGTCGACACACTCGGCGACCACTAGGTCGATCCGTCCCCCGATCGCCTAGTTTGCCCAAGGAAAGGGCCAGTCCTCTGGTGCGCACCCAAGGGTGTCTTCCACTCGACCCACGGCCTTACTCGAGACATCGAGACCACGAAGACCCAGCGGTAGGAAGACCGAGTTCAGGACTCGAGCAGGACGTAGCAGCCGCGTCCATAAGAAGGGTTCTCAGGGTTCGCGCGTAGCCGCAGTCCTATAATTAAAGGGATTTCATCGGAAACACGGATTCCTCGGGGATTGACCCGGAAATTACCGAGTCGAGGAAAATCGCTGCCGAAGCTAATTCTGGGCAGGTGTAAACACACCTTGAGTAAGGTTCCCTTCTGACCTGTTAACCTCATAAAGATCCGGACTCTTCTCTGTTCGCTCCTACCAGCGCTGCTTCCCTTTTCAATTCCATTGGATATTCGTCCTCCCTTCGACGCCAGAGGACTGGTCTATTTCTGATGGCTCACTGATTGCCGAGACGTACCGATTCAATGCAAAACTTCTTTCGCTGCTTATCGCGGGAATCTAGGGGCAGCCTTTCGTTCCAGCTTCATCTTCGAGTCCTGCGCAAAGCCGCAAGGACGACCAACAGTGAGCGTGGGGCACGTGGACCAGGAACTTGACGGTGACCTCCTTGACACGCGGGAGATAAGTGAGTCGCGAGGGACGCGCCTATCGCTGGTTTCATCTTTGATTAGCGACTAAAAGACCTGTACCAGTCGCGTGCGCGATTCCTCGCAATCTCTCGAATCTTCGGCCCGGCAGCCGATCTCCCTTGTAGCCGTTGAGCTTCTTCTTGGCGGTTCGCAATGTGTTCTAACGTGGCGCACGCAGGCTGCAGTCGCGCGACCAGGCAGCTGCGCGATCTCGCAACGTCTTCTTATCACGCGTGCAAATACGATTAGTGATCTTATCATGTGCACCGGCAACTGCGGCTTATTTATAGACAGAGGAAGACGGGCGAGTATCTTTGATAGAAAAGACTAAGTTCTAGAGGCTAGGTTAATAAAGAATGGTTGAGACTCACCGTCCGGTTACCAGGATGCTTCACGTGGCAGCTGAGTTCGGCTGTTTGTCCGGCGATGGCCGTCACGTTTTTCGAGGAAATGTCATCGAAGTAGGGCTTGTCCCAGGCTCTCATTGGTTTGCTGCTACCAGCAACGACGCTAGCGAGACTCGATCCTCCTGGAATACAAAAAAAAGGGGTTACTTGAGCTTATACTGGGTGACCTCGCTGATACTGCTGGTGGTAAACAATCCTCTCGAGGCTCAGAGAAATAAGAATGATCCACAAGGGGACGACGAAGAGAAATAAAACATGGACAAATGGAAAAATGGAAAAAATGGAAAAGTGAAAAAGAAAGGAAATCGAATGGACAGTCTGGGTTGCTTCTTGTTCGCTTCGCTCGTGCGTGCTTACTGTGCTGATAGTACAATAGGTATTCATGTACAAGTGGTACAAAAAATATCTAGCCGCGGCACCGGTAGCTGCTAGTAAATTGCCGCTTTGAGCATACTTTCCTTTTCCGGGCTGCCAAACAGGAGCTTCAGAGTTTGCGTACTCGAGGCAAGGTAATTATAATGAGGTTCGTGATTAGGCCGCAACTCATGACGAGGTGGGAGCCACCGTCCCATTTGTATGACTGAAGCAAACTGTGCGCTGGATATGACCTTTTGACACGTCCACGAGATAGGGGAATGCAGGTCTTTTACAAAATTTGACTTTTTCGCAAGCATCCTGCGTCGCAGGATCTCGCTGCTTCTTCTCCTCGTAGCCGACTGTACTATACCCGCCTTCTCTTTTCTCTTTTCTTTTTTCTATATCGTTAAACGATTAACGTAATCAAGTAAAATCAAATTTCAATATTCACAGAGCTGACCTGACTCGCAATTAGCGTAACGGCAGCTACTCGAGCCTCCCTCGTCAAACGATCAACGCACGGAAATGGAGCTTTAGCAATGAACGACTGGCAAAGCGGCGATTTATTTACCTTCGCTTTCGAGCGCCTCTCATGCGATCTATCTCCTTCGCGCGGCTCGATGAAACTTTGATGACGTCACCCGTGGCCACGTAAATAATCATCAGTCCCACCTACAGTAATTCAGTCTCTCTTTCTCCCAGCACTCCCCGCATTCCTCGCACTCGCTCTGGCACTCGATCGCCAGCGACGTACGTTTCATCCCCATGCGGCCCCTCGACTCAGTTGCAAAGAAACGTCGGATTTTATCAGTTAGCTTCGGTCAGGAGGCAAAGTTACTAATGCGGGGTGTACATGAATCGGACTTGATTAAACCTAAGAGGGATGCGGAGGGATGCGGAGGAATGCGGAGGGATGCGACACTGCGAGGCCAAATAAGACAGAAAGGGGCTCATTAAAATTCCAATTGGAATCTCGAAGTCATTGCACGTTAAAGATGAATAGATGATTCTAACCTTTGAAATGGTACAAGTCGGGAGTACCGTGCGCATGCTCAGCACAAGGCATTTTGTCAGATGGATACGCTTCTCATTTAATCCACCACCAAAAGCAGAGCATTCTTCCATGCATATTAGTTTACTCGAAATGTGCCTATATCCATTTTTCCTGTGACAAAGTTATTAAATAATTATAAATTGAAACAAGCTGCTTGTCCGTGCAAAAGCGGCGGGGCTCCATTTTATTCCGACTCAATGTCTGTCCATATGTGTATATTCTGGAAATACTTTCTCTGCTGTGTGTATAGTGTGAAGCATAGCGGGAATGAGAGAGAGAGAGAGAGAGAGATAGATGTAATATAATTAGGTAGCAGATACGAGAGAGTGAGAGGGGGTGTAGGGGGGTGTTTGATGCTCGCGGCATAACCCAACCAGGAGAATGGAGAGTGCAAGAAAGGCAACGGGAGTACAAGAGGAAAGAGAGTTCCTCGCTGGTTTTGAAGCTACGGAGGATCCAGCATCCAAGATTCAGGGTACGTGTGCTACACGTGTCTGTTATTACAATTTCTGCGGACGTCGTCACGCGCCGTGCGTGAGGGCGTGTCTGGACTTCGCTCTTTGTCAATCTAGATACCCTGAAGAGAATAGAGCCACCCTACCTGCCGCTTCTGCAGCTGATGGAATTAAACATGGGATTCAAATAAAGTAATTAAAATATTTGAGAGGAAGAGTGATAAGAAGCGTCGCTCTCTTCCGATCCATTCTTCGGAATTTCCAAGAGATATTTCAATGAATGACGCTCCGGAGGCTACTTTGTTTCTCTTCGACTCTCCTTCGCTCTCCCCATCGACTTGCCGCTTGGCATTATCTTCAGTATCTTTTTCAGGCGAATCAGGAGACAGTGAAGGAGAACAGTTGTAGGGAAGGCGCGAAGCGCCCTTATAAATTTAATAAAGGACACGGAGGGCGGCCAATATAAAATTTTACACTGCCGTAATTCCGCGCAAGTAGATCGTAGTGTGTAGCTAGGTGGAGAGGAGAGGCGGGCGATT